AGGGAGCTCTATGCAAGTCAATGGGACTCCCTGTTAGTTGGCCAAGGGGTCCTGGTGAGTGAGGTGCTCCGCGGATTGGTCCATTTGGGCCAATCCGGTCATTTGTTATTGGTCTGGGTGTTCACACGTCACAGAACCCAGGAAGCAAACAATGGAAAAAGAGAAGTGTCCAACGAGGCGTTCTGGGGCAGCATAGACAGGTTTTTTCTGTGTTAGAGTTTTACTCGCTACAGGGTGTACTTTGAGGGTTTGTGACTCTGCAGACCGTTTACATGCAGAAAAACCTTCATAACATACAAGGGGACGGGTAACAACCAGAAAAGCATGACATGGGACCTTTAAAAGTTTCTTGGAGATTACACCTGGGGATTGTTGTAAACACATTCAAATATACACATATATTGCAGATTTAACACAATCAGAATTAGAAAGAGATGTATACACGCACGAGGAATTTTGATACAGCTTCCTCTCGATCCCTAAAGAAGAAGGCACTTCTACTCCTGGCTTATATCAAAGTTTAATGCATATTTTAACACTAACTCTGTTTTTCCCCTTTAGTGCTTCTTGATTTTGCAGATGCCTCAGTGAAACAAGTGACTGCCACCCCAGTGAATTTTAACACTTTGTTTTTGACTTCCTCCATCTTGTGTTTCTATCTTTATTGAAATACTTTAAAAAAACACAAACACTGCCAACATGAACTAATGAAATGATACAGATCTATAAACCTCCCCCCCCCAAAAAAATGCTTCTTAAAATAGCAGACATGATTTATCCATGTCATTTTACCACTTCCGATAGTGTACAATATAATCCAAACCTCGTTTAGATATGCAGCCTATATATAGCCTATATTTAAATAATTAAAAAACGTTTGCAAAATAATAAGATAATGATTTAAAAACCTATTTTTGTCTTCAAGTTATTCTTGAAATAGAGGATCTCATAGACACTTTTTTAAAATCAATTTTTTTAATGAAATTATGTTATATAAAGCTTTTACAGTGTCAATTACAGTAATCAAGTTATCGCGAGATCTCCTCGCTGCCGATTGTTTTGCTGTCAAAACAACTTATGTGCGTCACGTGATCTGTGACGTAGTGCCTCCGCTGCTGCAGGGGGGGTTTCCATCATGGCGTCGATGCAGGTAAGAACACAAACGACATCGACCTGGATATTCATAATTTAACTGACCTTCAGTGGGGTTTATTCAGACAGTTTACTACCATTTTCACTTAGGTACAGATATATAATCGAGGTGGTGTTGACATTAAAGTAAAAGCGAGGATTTTAATGCTAAACGGTTAGCTCTGCTGCTAGCATTACAACCTAGCATCATCATCAACAGATACCAGCTTCTTTTTTTATTGAAATCATGACTGGCGGTGTTTTAAAGACAGCAACACATAGGTATTAACTCAAGGAAGGAGATGTTATAAGTTAATATATAAAGCTAATGTTTTACATGAGGGCTAGCTGCTGTTTTGGCTGGCGTTGACGTAAGCTAGCTAACGAACCAGTGCGCAGCAGATTGAGCAGCTTATCAAATAATAACAAACATTAACAGCTTTTTCATCATTATGATATCAAATAATAACAAACATGTGTTTTTTATCACCTGTTTGATGATTGGTCTCTTATTAAAATGAAGGTATTATTTTCTAAACGCTATAATTGTTTTTATTTGTGAAGATTGAGCAGTTTCCTCTCCAGCTGAGCAGGTGCATGTGGAGATTTACCATTTATAATTAAAATTACACAATTCTAACTTTGTTATTTAATCTACTGATTAACTAGGTTTGTTGCTCTCTGTAACCACATGTTTTTCATTTTATTTGGCTTAAAATAGCTCTTTTAGTCAGGGTGGAGTTATTGTTTTTACCAACATTTACAGTATTTAAAGCAATAAGATTTAAAATAATCTATATTTTTGTATAGTTAATGTCTTATTAAAATGTAGGAACAAATAAGTATTTTTTTCTCCACGCTATAATTGTTTATATTTCCTCATACAGAAAAGGCTGCAAAAGGAATTATTAGCCATGCAAAATGATCCACCCCCAGGAATGACACTCAACGAAAAAAGTGTACAAAACACCATCACACAGTAAGTACTCTTGTTCTTTATTTAGCTTAAATAACCTCTTACATTACATCTAACACAGTGGTTATCTGTTGATACCAGAGGGTACAAGGACATGTTGTTGCTGATTTGAATACCAATTGTATTGATTCAGCTGTCACTCGTCACACTGTCTTTCATTCAGACTGTGACGAGCAAACAGACACGTGTAAACAGTGAGCGAAATATAATGATCTAGCGGATCACATACGTGAGTAATGGATACATAGTTTAAATAGCTAAACGTCTGCCCTATTAGTAGTAGATCATGCAGACTGCACTAAACCAAAAACAGGCAAATTGAAACATACGTAGTGATTTTAAATAATGCAAATAGCAGAAACAGGTGTGCTAAGGGCAATAAAAGGAAGGTGATAACAACATGTAAAATATAAGAACACAAAAGGAAGATTGCCCCTTCTCCTTTTAGGTCATGTAGGATGGATATATTCTTTATTGTTGTCTGCTAAAAGCCTTACAAAGATACATGCCCTTTTTTTGTGCTTTAAAAAAGTCAACGCCTAGGGGAGGGAATTTCATAGTTTTGGTGAGAAACTATGAAAGGCCTGTGCTGCTAATTGTATTATCAATGTGATATTTTGTATTCAAAAAGGTCAGCTCCATGCCTTATTCTTGCATTTCTAATTATTGTGTAGTCCATCAATGGATTGCTTTTGGAAGACCTATGATTACTGTAGTGTTTTCCGCTTGAAATAAACGCATGAAAATTACTTAATGCTGTAGGAAGTATGGCGATGAAATGCTGCTGTATTATAGCTGCATGTATGGAGGAATCGGGGTCAACTAGTGAGTGGCAGCCCTTCAGTGGAGAGTCTCTAATGCACAGTGTCACTATTCATCCTTATCAAATATTTAACGGTTGATTTGGCATGCAGCAGTGTGTCTAGAGTAGCAAGGAACAGAGGCTGCTAGCTGACCTCTCTGACTCAGTTTCTTCCCTTTTTATTATGTTAACTGATTCAGTCAAATTGTGTCTGATAAGCACCAGAGTCTTTACCTGTAAAAGGGATTGACGACAGATATTCTGGCCGTCATTCAAATGTCTTTTAGCTGCAGGCTCACACATGAAGTTCAGAGTGACTACCTGGAATCAGAGGTAATTCAATGGGGATTTAACCTTTGTCCTACTCATCGAATAACTGCAATATCTACACATTTGCACTATTACAAACTGTGAGTCTGCTGCATCATTCTTGGAAGAAATGCTAAAATAATTGACCGTATGCAAACGGTACATTGAAGCATTTACCTGGCTTTTTCCTGGAAATATCAGTGAGCTAGACATTTTATTTTTGCACCCTGATTGCCTCGCTTCTTTATAAATACACATACAGTTTGTTTGGCTTCCCATATACTTCTTTGACCTACGGAATTACACCATATTTGCTGGTTTTATCAGTCAACGGTGCCCCAAAATCAACCTCTGTGCCCGTCACCGTCTGCTTTTAAGGTCAAAGCCAAACTCTCTCATATGTACCCAATCACTGCTGTTGAAAATGTTAAAGAGTTCAAGCTTCCCTTATCCACGTGTCCTGGAGAAACTCTGCAGGGACGTTCCCCCCCAAACCTCATCCCTGATCCTCAGTTCTTCTGACCGTGAACCCGAGCCGCTGTTTGGCTTTTTGGCAGAGAGGAAGCGTTCAATCACAAACCTCCGCTTTGGCCAGACGGGCAGGATTATATAAAGATGGAGAGATACTTTGTGGGACATCACGTACTGTCTCTTAACAAAGACATAATACTCGGTTCTATTTCCGTCTGGATTTCAAGTTAGCAGTTTCTAAATCCTCCTTTTTATTTGTTTCCATTCTCTCAGACTTCAAGGTCCGTCTTGTTTTACTCCAAGGAAGAGTATGAGTTCATATCAAGCACTTTGTGACTATGTCTGGGAGAAGCGCTTTATAAATACATCAGCTTGACGTCACACTCCATTTATTGTTTTGTGTGGTTGTAAAAGCGACATATCTACGAACAGGTTTCCCTAGCTTCCTCGTTGTTTGCCTCCCATCTCTACGAGGACACGTCAGGGTGTGTCTTTTTGTCCTCGTCTGTTTAAATGTCTGTCAAGCATTTGTTTGTTTTGTGTGTCATGGTTACTGACAGTAGGGATTTACCCTTTTCAATCAAGCGAGTCCCGGTGGAGTAAAGTAGTCTCTTCCTGCCTGCGTGACATTCAAGTGAACCTAAAACTAACTCTAAGGACAGAGCTATGACTGTGGCACGATGACCTTATGTTGTTAGTTTGATAGCTTTTGTTGAGGGTACACTTTGTCTCGTTGCGCTGCTCGTTAGATTAGGAAGAGTCTCATATTCTCACTCCATTTTTTCACAGTGTTGTTTTTGTCTGCTGGATCATATAATCGCTACGGATGGGGGAATTTGGGAAAGTTGACTGTCATGTCCTTGGGTGTGCTTTCCTCCGCTCACACTGTTGAATGAGGTGTGTTTCAGCATCTTGATACACTGATACGGACGCAGTTATAAACATGGCTGACCTCCAACGCTGGCCTGAATGATCTGATGTGCTCGAGGCTACGTGAGAAAGAGGCTCTGAGGCTGTGACCCATCTTTCCTCAGAGAAATGAGGGCAGAGATTGTGACGCTGCCATCACAGTTTCCCTGTCTCTTCCAGCACAGAATAACCATATGTATTCTGCGCTGGATGAGGAATATCTGGCTTTCTTTGCGAGTGAAACCTCTGGGTTTTATATGAATATGAAGCAGGTCCAGAGAAACTGGATCCTCCGTGCCACAGAGGCCAAAATGGATTTAGTTTAGATCGATAGAGTATCATGTTGGTACTGAAGCGCCGCCATAACCCCGCTGAAGATTGAATGTCAGGGGAATGAGTCAGGATAGCATGGGCACTGTGATCCTTTTGTGATGAGATGTGCAAGTCATGTTCACTGTACTATTTAGACATACGTATGGCTATGTTACTGGCATCCTTTGGTTGCTGTAACCCTGTATGAACACACAGTTAGAAATACACTACATGTATACAGCTTTGTACATAGACTACAAAATGAAACAAGCATTTTGAACCTGACTTTATCCAATGTTCAGGTGTGTGTTCCTGAAATGTGTTAAAAATATGCGCATATTTAATTAGATAATGGGGACTTGGCATATTTAAACATGCTATTTCAGAAAACTTATAATACAAAAAACAATTGTCTTAATGTAAGTCATTATCTGGAGAAATGTCTTGCTGATATCTTTAAGTTAAAAACAATCACCCTATTCACCTGTAGTGTCTTGCCTTAACGTTTTTAGTGTAAGTGTAAAAATGCACATTGAATTGTATCTCGTTGCACCGTCATCGCTACGACCTCTGCTTCTACCACTCTATTTATTTGTGTCTATTTTGTACTGCAGTGGGAGATGCCAAAGAAATGTCGTTCTACTTTGTATGATGACAATAAATATATATTTTATTCTTCTGATAATCCACTCCAGAGGGATGAAATATAACATAAACATTACTGACTTGGCACGAGCCGGTCTAAGAGCTTTAAACTCAGTGACGGATATATATTTGTAATTGTTGTGATGGGGGATGTCTTAGTGTCTTAGTTTAACATTTTTTATTTTATTGTGTGTCTTTCCTCCAGGTGGATTGTAGACATGGAGGGAGCGTCTGGCACACTCTATGAAGGAGAGAGATTTCAGCTGCTTTTCAAATTTAGCGGTCGATATCCTTTTGATTCACCTCAGGTACGTTTCTCTGCAGGTGTGTGTGGGTGTTTCTCAATGTCGAGTAGAGCTGCTCCAGAGCCTCTGTTTCCAGCACACTACGTCATCGAGTGCCGCCGAAGGACTGTTCCAATGTCCAGCATACTTGGAATTCTACCGAGCCCGACGTACTTCGTTNAGCTGTGATATAATGAGCACCACGGCCTGTCCAGCTTTGAAAATGTTTCGTTGTGCATATTATTGTGCAAATAATATCATTTTCAAAATCTGCTTTTACCGTAAAAGCAGATTTTGAAAATGATATTATTTGCACAATAATATGCACAACGAAACATTTTCAAAGCTGGACAGGCCGTGGTGCTCATTATATCACAGCTAAGGGGTGTGGTTCGGCCCGACGCGAAGCGGCCTGAAGTGAGCTATTGCTTTTATAAAACGGTTACCAAGTGTGGCAATATGAAAGAAAAATACACACTCTAATTTAAATAGTTTTTATTAGTAAATAATGATGTTCAAAATAAAATAGTCCCTCCGTTGCCTTCTGCACAAAACATAGTGCAAGGTAGTTGCTATGCAACGACACTAACAGCAGGCGAACATATTAGACAGAGAGCGTTGATCCATTATTTGGCTGTTTATTTACATTAATGTGTATGTTGCTGTTTATTGTGCACCCACTGAAAAACTGTCCAGCATCAGTAGCATGGCTTACGTGGTCACTTGTATAGGTTGAGGTTGTTCTAGGCTGTTGCTTGGCTTGCTCCACTTTCTCCGGTCCCCGAGATTGGGCTTCCAGTAGCTCTGGAGAGAGCTTTCGCACCTGTGGCCACTAACGGTCATAATTTCTCTGCTTTGTTTCAAGACCCGCATCAGAAAGCTTTTGAATCGTGGTACTTTTCCAGTTGGTCTACCTGCTCTTCACGTAGCTCTGCATGCCGTCGTTTAGGTGCTTTCTGGAGATAGGAACTGCTCAATCATCTCATAGTAGCACCCGAGTCAGTAACCGTTTCCATCTTAAGCTTTGTTAGTTAGTTAGTTTCGTAACGGACGTAATGTAACTGCTGTAACGGTTGTAGCTTTTTCTCAGACGCGGAGGGATACTGACTTGTTGTGGAAAGTAACTACAATTCTACCCGTGATATACGCTCATTATATCACGGCTAAGAACCAATCAGATTGCTTGATTTAACCTGGAGATAGGCACTGCTAAATCCACTCCTCCATAGTAAGACCCCCCCGGAGGTCGAAGTTAATCTTAAATGTTTCCATCTTATGCTTTGTAAGTTAAGTTTGTTTCGTAACGGAAGAAATTTAAATATATTTATAAAACTGACAAGTCAAATCAAGCAATCTGATTGGTCGATAGTGTTTTTGCGGACCTCTTTGATTCCAGATTTGAAAACATCGTTGCTTGCTTTAAAAGTAGCACAATTCATTATGTTAAACCTTGGAAAGTGTCTAGATATCCCTGCCCTAATGCCAAAGGAACTGCACACTGAATATGTTTTGCCCTTTGATGTCTATGTCTGGACCGCTGCGTAAAAAGGAGGCTTTCTGCCCCGTTACTTCTCCGCTGCTTTCTTGTTCCAGTATTTGGCTTTTCAACCCAACGGTATACTGTTTTTCTCAGACGCGGAGGGATACTGACTTGTCGTGAAAAGTAACTTACAATTCTACCCCGTGGTATACGCTCAGTATATCACGGCTAAGAACCAATCAGATTGCTTGATTTGATTTGTCCGTTTTATAAATATATACTCGACTCACGTTCAGAGTTCTCTTCATCTTTATCTACTCCAGTAGGTATAACTGATTACCTGTGAGGTGTTCAGTGACGTGAACAACGATTTCTAAACCCTCCACCTCCATGTTTCCCTCGTAGAACATCTCTGACTGTCGTTTGCTCCTCGGATGGTAGCTGTGGTCGGGAACATCGAACAGGAAGTCCGCCTCCCCGTCAATCTGAAACAAAGCAGCAGTGAGGCCATTTTCACTTTATATCAAATTAATTAAACTGATATTATTATTATTTTAATGATTTCATTTGAAGAACATGTCTTTATTATTTGTATTATTCCCTTTTAATATGATTATTATTTTTATTAAAATGTCCAATGTTATACTTTTTTTGCCTCATTTTAATTGTTTAATACACTTATTATTAGTTTTTCTTGATATAAAAAATAAAGGGTTTTAAATTTAAGGCATGATATATGGCATGTTTTTTTTAATATTATTACCGTGTGTAAAAAAACCAATATTTGTTTATTAACCATAGAAAATGTGGCTTTAAAAAGGTTAAAACGTTTAGAATAATAATGTACCAAATGTCAAAGGGATGGCTTCTTCACTCATATCTTATTTATACTAATATCCTATATTTGTATAATTGCTTGAATAACCCATAACTATCTTGATCTTTATTCACTGGATGCTTTAGAAATGGTTTGTTTAAATCAGATTATAATTAATTTTCTCTCAGGATGTTAAAACGACGCACCTCTTCTCCTTCTTCGGTATAAGCCTCTTCAAAACCGTGGAACTTATGAATAAACGTTATATTCATGTGTCCCTGAACGGGCTTCCCATACACGTACCTGAGGGTGGAAACACACACAAGTACAATGTTGAGGTTCTTGTACTTTCCTCCACTACAGTTCAGAGGTACATGGTGTACTTCTACTCCACTACATGTATTTAATACCTTTAGTTACTTCACAGATGTGGATGAATGATGTGAAATCTAATCAAGTGTTAAATCAGACTTTAGTTCCACCTGGAGTAAATCCACCGGCTACCCTGCAGTATACAAAGTCATTCAGACTAGCTGCACCTTTACCAGCTTTGAGAACACTTTCATGATCAATCATTATAAAACATATCATATCTATTATTCTGAAATGGACCAATCTGCACAATGACTACTTTTACTGTCGCTACTTTAAATATATTTTGATGAGAATACTTTTCTACTTTTACTTGAGGAACATTTTGAATGCAGGACTTTTACTGTAACAGAGTATTCCTACACTCTGGTACTTCTACTTTTACTCAAGTACAAGATCTGAGTACTTCTACTTTTACTCAAGTACAAGATCTGGGTACTTCTACTTTTACTGAAGTACAAGATCTGAGTACTTCTACTTTTACTCAAGTACAAGATCTGAGTACTTCTACTTTTACTCAAGTACAAGATCTGAGTACTTCTACTTTTACTCAAGTACTAGATCTGAGATCTTCTACTTTTACTCAAGTACAAGATCTGAGTACTTCTACTTTTACTCAAGTACAAGATCTGAGTGCTTCTACTTGTACTCCAGTACTAGATCTGAGATCTTCTACTTGTACTCAAGTACTAGATGTGAGTACTTGTACTTCAGCACCAGAACACAGACACATAGGTCAGGGGTCATGTTGCTG